CTTCTCCTCAGCATTGCGGGCTTCCTGGATGGTATCCTCCATTTCACTCTGGATCTGGGAAATGTCCGTTTCCAGCTTCTTCTTGGTGTTGATCAGGCTGGTGTTCTGTGCAACAGGAAAGACAGGATTCCTACTGTCAGACCAAATGCCTCCACATCAAGGCCTGAAAATGCAGGTAGAGCTTAGCAAGGATTTTCGTGCTAGAGACCAGAGCAGTAAACCAGATATTGAGAGCTGGCTGGAGGGGACATGTTGCAGCACAGTTCTTCAAAGGTTTACACAGTAATCATTTAAAGATGAATAATAATTTGAGTCTTTGTTATCACTTGTGAATGGCAATAATTTCTAGCAGAGCCTGACCTGGGTGTGGAGGAGCTGTGCACGTTCAGTGGCATCCAGAAGCTCCTGCTCAGCCAATTTCCTCGACCGCTCCGTCTGCTCCAGGGCTGCCCGGAGCTCCTCAACTTCAGCCTGCAGCAGGTTTGCTCTGCGCTCCACCATGGCCACCTGCTCCTTCAGGTCATCCTGTGTCCTGAGAGCATCATCCAAGTGCAGCTGAGTGTCCTGGAAAGAGAGATAAGGGAAATTATAAGGCATCAGTGGGTGCTTGAGTGGCAGAAATGTCAGGGATAACATTTTTCTTTCTGTAGTTCAGGTGAACAGACCTTGAGCACAGACTGCACGTTTCTCAGGTTCTTCTGTGCCTCTGCAGCCTGGCGGTTGGCGTGGCTCAGCTGGATCTCCATTTCATTCAGGTCACCCTCCATCTTCTTCTTCAGCCTCAGGGCTTCATTCCTGCTCCTGATCTCAGCATCCAGGGTGCTCTGCATGGATTCTACAATTCTGAGGTGGTTTCTCTTCAGCTGGTCAATCTCCTCATCCTTCTCTGCTATCTTCCTGTCAATCTCAGACTTCACTTGGTTGAGCTCAAGCTGCAGGCGCAGGATCTTCCCTTCCTCATGTTCCAGAGAGGCCTGCAGAATTCAACACAAAGAGTGTTTTACTTTCTAAGTAATCCTTTATGCAGGTCCACATTATGGGAAGTTTGCTTTCCTATTCTCTCTCCAAATGACTACACCCATACTCCGGGTGGGAACATAATTTCTTAGCAATGTCTGTACCTCAGCTTCCTCCAGGGAGGCTTGCAGTTCAGATTTCTCCTGCTCAACCTGCTTCTTGACTTTCTCCAGCTCATGAATTGCCTTTCCTCCCTCCGCAATCTGCTC